GCCCCAACACCACTGGCAGATGACAGCAACCAGAAGGACTGAATTGACAGTCTAACAGTTTTTCATCTAAATTTTCTGGTGTGCTATCGCCCATCCTTTGGTCTTTGGCACCAGTTAAAACACAGCTGTTAACTGGAGCAGGGAATCCTACTGTGACACCATGTAAAGAATTCCTGTATGACATGAAAAAGGCACACATCAGTATCTAGTGACCTACCCACTACACAGTTTACATCATTACACCTCGTGGTGTACTCAGTCTTGTTAATACATACTGCTGTTAGGTGTAAATGTGCATATATTTGCTTAGATAAAATACCTGGATTTTGAAACCATAAATATAAAAGTACACTTGATAACTAACAAATAGTTTACCCAAGGCAGAGTATAAATAACAGGCACTGCCTGCTAGTAGCCCTGCACTGTGGAGCTACAGGGCATTGTCTGCATCCACAAGCACACACTGGCTGCTGTCACACCTGGCTACTATCCCATCTGTGTGCACACGCCAGCTTCTATCACCTCTCTGCAGACACAGTGGCTGTGACAGCGACGCCCCTGCTGGGAGCCTTACCCAAGGAGCCTCAGCACTATCCCCGAGGCTGACAGAGTAGGCCAGGATAGTCTATACCATGGACACCGGTTTGCAGTGAGCTGCTCCAGGCCGCGGTGCTTCTTGGGCTGTACTCTTCCGCTGCAGCGTATGCCCAGCATGAGATGCATCAGCCACCACTCCCAAACCCAACCACTGCTTACACAGGGGTGCCAACATAGGAAGAGCCCTGTGCTACCCTGAGGCCACTTGGACATCCCACAATTCAAGTTCCATGCACCATCTTCCACTCATGTGAACAAGTAGTGCTGGGCTTGGGTGCCATAGCAGGGTGACACGATCTGTACCAGGGGCGTGTCTTGGTGCCTAGGCTTGGGCATGTGCCCTTCTTCACCATTTTTAAACTCGCTTATAGTGTGAATACTGTGACCCATCTGGCAGTGGTACCAGCCACTGTCATTGATGACAGGAAGCCATAAGCAGGAATTCAGAAGGCTGATTTTAGAATACAATCTTTCACCATAAAGGAAAAGCTGTGATACTTAAAGTGTTACAGATATTGTGAAAGCAATGCTGGTCGCAATTTCTCCAAATCATGCCAGGAAGTTCAACTTGACCTGAAGACATGCTTCCACCAGCACTGTCTATAGAGTACCCGGGATGTACTTTGTCTCTGGAAAAGGAGCCACTGGGGCTACGTAAACTGGTGAGTCAGGGACTGTACTCTCCCAAGGACCCAGACACGAAACATCAGGATCAGGAGTGACAGGTGGACTTTGTTTTGGGGGGCTGCTGCACCAGGTCCAGGCCCAAGAAGGGCTGGCTGGAAGGGCTGGGGTGGGGCTCACTCTTCTAAAGGAGACCTAAGAGCAAGATGCAGTACGGAGTGTCAAAGAGTCACCTGGACACATGAAATGTCAATATGCATTGAAAATCAAGGAGCTATTACTTCTGTATAATATGTGGGGGGCGTGGAAGAAAGCGTGTCCTGTTTCAGAGGTTCATGCAGGTATTCTAAGGAAAACAACCATTTTCTTTAGAAGATTCCATTGGGCTGGCCAAGTACCTCAGGGGAGTTCGATCCTGTGCTGGCCCCATTCCCAGACAGGCGTGCGGAGACAGCAAGTGAGACTGGGTGTGGTGGCGTGTGCCTGTAATCCCAGCTCTTAAGTAGGAGGATCACTACAAGTCCGATCTAGTAGTGAGACCCTGAACACCCTGTAGACCCTTCCCTAAAATAAAAAAAAGACTCCATTTGCGAAACTCTGAAGAGAGATATGGAGCTGCAATGGCTGAGTACCAGTGACGCTGGACTAGGGTAGTAGGGCTTTTATGCTTTTTCTTCTTCCTTCATGTATTTTGAAAACTTCAGAACTAACCAGGAAACAGTGCTCTCTAGAGTGAGATCCTATTAATAAAAACCACAAGCAGTACACGCATTTCACAGGAGGCCCAGCAGACAACGGTGGGGAGAAGAATTTGTTCTGGCTCTCCAAGACAGCCTGGTGTGGCCCGCTGGGCGGTTCCACACCTCCGAAGGAGAGGCTTGCTCCCCTCAGCGCTCGCTCCAGCAGGGCAAGCAAAGAGGCTGCTGCCTCGACTGGACCATGAGCTCCCTCCACGGGGAGACACAACTTCTGTCACCTCACAGCACCAAAGGGGAGAGAGGGAAGGGCGGCCACCACTGCTCTATGAATGCTAAGATTAGGAAAAACATTTCAATCTAATACACGTTAACCCTTCTCCCGACACAAACCCGATGTTGATTTTCACAGGGACACAGTGGGAGAAAAGAAGCTGCATAACCAGCCCTGTTCTCAGCAGCGCTCCCACCACCACAAACGCATCTCCTACCGACTCTCACACATCTGCAGGCAGCAGGAGCCTCCCACTGAGACATGACTGAGAAGCCTAAATAACGAGAGACAGAATGAACACAGATGAAACACACTGGAAGCACTGGCCAAATAGATCAGTAAAGTTGTAAGACTGTGGTTTACATTTAATAAGGCCTCAAAAATTGAAAATTATACAATACATAAAATACAGCCATAAACCCCTTCCTTGTACACAAGAGGCACTGACATGTAGGAGACGCCCCAAGCTCTAGGAGACCCTGAGCAAAGAGGACTTGGCAGACACAGTGAATCCACCCCAGCACGGGTGGAAATGGGTGCTCAAAGCCTCTGCAGGACACTTCAGGGAGGACATAAAACCGAACATACGACAGGACACTATCAGGTATGATCAGAAGGGACAACCACCACCAAGTGCACTCAGACAAGCTCAACAGTGCCTGCCCGGGCTGGCCTGTCTGGCCTCTGTGAGGCACTGGGTCACGCGGCAGTCATTCCTGCTGCGGTCCACTCACAGCACCTGCAGTCTACATCGTAAGCTTCGCCCCGGGCGGTGATGTGCACCAGAAAACCCTCCACACAGGACCCACAGGACCGCCTCAGCACACTACTCACTCACTGACTTCTCTCACTGCCTTGGGACAGAGGAGTGTCCTGAGACATGCATGAGGATGGCCAGCAGCACACACTGCAAGGCACCTGACGCAAGGCAATCATCATTTTCAGGGAAAGAGCGAGCCCAAGCCATCACACGCTCTGGGACATTCCTTGACCATTTTTAACAAACAACTTTCCACGTCAGCATACACCATGACTGGGTCTTGTGACAATTTACAGCAACCATATCATCTAGCACACCCCCGATAAGACAAGCAAAAAACACCTCACATTTGTGAAGTGCCTTTTGAAGCCAATACCTGTGAAGGCTGGCCATCTAAACACAGCACTGCCTCTGGGCCTCAAGTCAGAAAACAGGAGGCCCTTGGCACTGGGACAGTCCAAAGAACATCCTTGGCGTGTACCTGCTTTTCCGTAGTTAGAATTCAGTACAGATTCTGTGTAGTACCTTAACAAGACAAATCAGAGAAAACCTACCTGACTGGGCAGCCTGGTTGACCTCAACAACAGCATCAACAGGCATACAGAGGGTCTGCCAGATCAACATGAGGGCAGGGTGTGCATGTGGCTCAACGGCAAAGCACGTGCCTTGCATGCAAAAATCCCTCAGTTCAAACTCCAGCACCACTACCACCAATATAAAACAAAACAAAAAAGCTTAACCAGAGCTGTGAAACATTCAAAACATAGCACCAGTTTTTAGTTGAATCAAAATATGTACCAAAAATCCAAAGCCACACAAGGCTTATCAGCTTCCAGGACTAGCTGGAAATGCTCACCTACTTAAAACCGGATGCACAGCTTTAACACCACTCCAAGTAAAACTTAATTCACTGACATTCAAAACACTGTAAGAAACTAGGAATTAGCAAAAATATCTGACTACTTGGCATGAACTAAATCACTTCCTACACTAAGTCAATGATTCTCACTCTAACTACATGGACTGGAGAATGAAGGGATCTCTATAAAAGTCTGGAATGGTCAAGATGAATTTTTACCTTTCTGATCTCCTGGAGTCAGATTCTTTACATTGTTCTGAAAATCAAAAGGGACTCTCTCTCCACCTGTCTGTGTGAAAGGGCTGCTGAGGAAAAGGCGCATATCCAGGGCGGCCTCAGTCTCAGAGCCCCAGGAGCTCGACTCTGTGCTGCTGGAGTCTTCTGCCGCGGTGGGTGGGTAGCTGAGCTGCTCTAACTGGTCCACGATGTCTGAGAACTGGAAGGCGGAGCTGGACTCTGAGCGGACCGAGTATGCGGGGAAGTTGACCATAGAACTTGCCTCGGACTGATTGGCCGAGCTGGACGTATGGAGAGACAGCCCGCCATGCAGAGGCATGTTATGCAGTGAGCTGTTCTCAGACTGGTTGTTCCTCAGTGAGCTAGTGTCAGAAGGACTCAAGAGGCTCTGCATCAGGCTAGCTTGTGCCTTCACCTCAAATAGCTCTGAGGTGTCTGATGGGTGTGTATTGCCGTTGAAGTCACTTCCTTCCCCAAATTCAAACTCGTCCTCTACATTCATGTCTACTGCCTCGGTGGAGTACCTGTCTGGGCTGGACTGGGTAGAGTCCCGGGGCCCGAAGGCATCTGCACTATGCAGAGGGGATGCAAAGGGCTGGACCAGCATGTGGGGCCTGGGCGGTACTAAAGAGTGGTAAGGGAAGGAAAAAGCCTCCGAGCCTCCAGCAAAGAAAGAGATGTCTGCAGGGTCATCATCTATGAACTCTTCAGACACCTGCAGCTGCGTGTTTGTCAATGTGAAAACAGGCACCCCCCCACGGCACTGCCGGCCAAACCAGTACTCCCCACCTGACCGGAATGAGCCTGGAGGGGTGTCACCCTTGCCAACGTCACCTCCTCTGGCAGCCCCGAGCACCCTGCCTACCTTCCCCACATCTAGGTCTGGGGCCCTGAGACTCTGGCTAATGGGACACACAGAGTCACCGACGCTGACAACAGGACAGAAACTGACACCTGGACCGGTCTGGAGCGCAGGGGACGTGGGTGGCTGGGCCAGCGATGGGGTGCCAGGGGCTTCAGCTGCTCCACTGCTCCTCTTCCTCATGGCCACATTCTTGACAGCTGCACTGGAGAGGCCGGGAGCCGGGGCATCAGAGTCACTGCAGTCCTTCAAATCAGGTCGGCAAGGCAGGGGTGGGAGGGAGGGAGGGAGCGGATAAAAGGAGGCGTTTGCTGAAGACAGAGAAGCAGATCTCAAGCCCTCGGTGAATGAGATGCTCTGAAGGTCAAAATTAAGAAGGAAAAAAAAAGAACGTAAGAAATTACAAATCACCATTGAAAGTTGCAAGACACCTGGTGCAGCACTGTCCATCTGTAATCCCAGCTACTGAGAGGGCCAAGGCAGGAGAATCATTACATTCTCAGGCCAGCCTAGGCAGTGCAGTGAGAGCCTGTTTCAAAATAAAATTTACAAGTAGGGCCACAAGGTACTTCAGCAGTGGACTGCCCACGTGGCAGTCACAAAGCCCTGGACGCAGTCCCTAGTACTACAACCAATGAATCAACGAGAAAATGGAAATCGCAGTCAACTACTGCTTGGTTTTTGCTTCTTAGGAAGGGGAAGGGTGACCAACGAGACTGTCCCTTTCACCAAGGAAGATTCGTCATTGTGGACAGTACTTTGTAAGCCAACTCAGACCATGTGTTTGTTTTTATTTTAGACCCTGAAGGGTCTACGGGGTGTTCAGGGTCTCACTACTAGATTGGACTCGTAGTAATCTACCTGTTTACAGCCTCCCAAGAGCTGGGAATACAGGCATGTGCCACCACGCCCAGTCTCAACTGCTGTCTCAGCATGGGGGGGGGGGGCGCCAGCAGCAGCAGGGCTGGCACAGCAGGCCTGGGGACCCCGGCCTTGCAGGCGCTTTAATCCACTGAGCCATACCCCCCCCAACACCATGTGTTTTAAAACCCCTTAGACTTTTGTTTTCTTCCTTTATAGCAAGAAACTCACACAGTACAGAAACTGCACTGGGGCAGCACTCTCCAGTGCCCCCCAATCTCCCTGAGACTGCAAGCACATGTATTTGGCATTCGGGTTCATGGAGAGGTGCCAGACACCTAGCTGGACACGAAGCAAGAGGTTTTACTCAGCCAGCCGTTACTTGCCCCATGTTAATGCCAGGAGACAGTCCAAGTCTACAGCCCTGAGCCTCAGGGAGGGAACAGACTGCTCCACTCTGGGATGCAGCAGGAGGCTCGGCAGAGTCAGAGCAGCATGGGGCATCTCGAAAGCAGGAAGGGGAAGAATCCCTAAACAGGCCCACTAGTGGGGCAGTGGTGCAGCCACAGGGTGGCCCCTCTCCACGGTGCCGCAGCCAGGTCTTACACATGCTTCCATGTGCGGAGACACACGTGTGTTTTCTCTGCATGCTAAGGGCCCTCCTAGACCAACCTGATGGAACAGCAGTTATGGCACGGCCTGTGCACTTACGCTATTCTCCGAAGTATATCAGATCATCTTTTCTTACCTATCCAACTGTACTCATTTTCTGTGACTTTTAAAATACAACATAAGAGCCAAGTTAGTGGTAGCCAGAATGCCCATAACTCCAGCATGCAGGAGGCTGAGGAAGGAGCTCTGCAGAGTTTGAGGCCGGCCTGGGCTACACAGTGAGTTCCAGGTCAGCTTCAACTGCATAGTGAGACTTGGTCTCAAAAAACCACCACCAACAACAAAAATAATAATTTTTTAAAATGTAAGAGAGGGGCTGGTGAGACGGCTCAGTGGTCTAAAGCACCTACTTGGAACAAGCTTGGCAAAGCGCAGGGACTGTGGTTCGATCCCCCAGCACCACATGCCAGCCAGCCCCGCCCCCAGGTGGGCTGAGCTGCCCCCACAAAAAATAAATAAAATAAAATAAAAATAAATGAAATAAAATGTAAGAGAGGGCTGGCAACAAAGCTCAGTGGTCTAAAGCGCCTGCTTAGGCAAGTGCACAGGGACCACAGTCTGATACCCAGCACATGCCACACCAGCCCTGCCCCCAGGGTGGACTGAGCTGGCCATTAAATAGGCAAGCAAAGAAATAAATATGTAAGATAACTGAAAGCTTAAAAGTTATTTTAAAATTTTTTCTATTTTTTGAGATAGGGTTTCACTAAGTTGCCCAGGCAGGGCTCAGGCCTGCAGTCCTCCTCCCTTAGCCTGCCTACACCACTGGGACCGCAGGTGTGGGCCACCACACCTGGCTTTTAGATTTTAAGACAAGGCCTCTAAATATGATTCTTAAGACTTTCATACTTTGAAATAAATTTGAATTTTGTAAAGTTACATTTAATACATTCACTTTTAATTTCAAGAGACACAACCTGGAAGAGTTAAAGGTTCCTCAAAGACCCATTAGAGAAAAGCTAGAGACAGATGAGCTGTAAGACACGAGGCGCAAGTGGGACTCCTGGAAGTTCCATCCAGCATGAATCAGAGATCACCAAGAAATCATGGTAAATAAACAAAAACCCTAGAAGGGAGGTGGAGCAGCATGAAGAGAGAGGTGGTAACACTGCCGCAGAGGGGGAATCAGCATGCGATGACGCTCGCACGTAGAAGTTAACACGCAAACAGCAACACAGGACGAGACGGCTGTGCTGCGGGTGAAGAGCAGAAGCATCAGCACAGGCCGGTTGGCTGCTGCCTCATTTGGGACATCCTCTCGGAGTCTGCATGAAGTTCCTGTGTGTGCGGCCCTGTGTGTCTGTACTTTAACACAGCTGCCAAACACACAATAGCACTGAAGTCCATATGCTATGTATCTTTTATTTTTCACTTTTTTGGCCATACTCCAGTCCAACACAAGGCCTTCATTCACACTGTGCTATATCTCTAGCCCTTTCTCATTTTGAGAGCGTCTAAGTTGCCTAGCTCAGTAGAATCCTCCTGCCTCAGCCTCCTGGAGTGCTAGGATTACACCACACCAGCTTCACTCTTTTTTGTTCTTTATGTAGACAAATGCACTTAATTTTGGTAGACTCATCCATGAACATAACACGCTCTAAACTTTTTCATCCTCCCATCCTCTGGCCTTCCCTCCTCCATATCTGGGCAGCAAACTTGGGTGCATATAGTCCGTTTCCCCACTGTCCACCCTCACAAGCCTTCCCCAGCCCTCTGACTCCCTCCCATCTATTTACAGCCTCCTTTCTACTCCCTTGTCATCTCATCTCCTTTAGATTTCACATATTAGGGAGAACAGTGATATTTGAGTCTCGCTTAACTGGTGCAATACGATGTTCTCTGGATCCACCCTTGCTCCTGTCAGCAGAACTGTGCTCCACTCTGCTTAGGCACAGAATTTCTGGGGGCTGTGCTGCATGCAGCTCGGGTAGACGTCCAGTTTTCCCGGCGCCACTTGTTAAAGAGGCTTATTTATCTCCAGTGTGTATTTTGGCTCCTTTGCCCAGAACCGGATGGCTATAGTTGCAAGACTGTTTCTAGGTCTTCTAGTCTGATCACTGGTTTACGTGTGTATTTTTGTGCTAGTGCCTTGCTATTTTCGTTACCCTGTGCTTTGTAGAAGACTTGGAAACAGCATTATGAAGCCTACAACCTTTCTTTTTTTGCTTAGAATCACTTTGGTTTTTCAGGCACTTTTGTGCTTCCATACGGATTTGGAACTGTCTTTCCTGGTTTCGTGAAGAATGTCATTGGGGTTTTGCTGAGGATTTCTCTGGATCTGTAGATGTCTTTTGGTAATATGGCCATTCTCACAATAGTAATTTTGCTGACCCATAAGCATGGAGGGTCTTTTCATCTTCTGGTGTTCTCTTCACTGTCTTTCTCCACTGCCATGAAATTTAAAAAAAAAAAATTTTTTTTAAACGTATTTAGTACAGAGTCTAGAGGGTCTACTACACAGACTGGACTTGTAGTGATCCTTCCTGTCTTTCAGCCTCCCAAGCGCTGGGATTACAGGTGTGTGCCACTAAGCCTCAGTCTCAATTATCCCAGACCAGCATGGCATGCTGGGGATTGAACCCTGGTCCCTGAGTCTACCTAAGCAGGTGTTTTAATCCACTGAGCTATCTGGCCGGCCCTTGAAATTTTCATCACGTAAGTCTTTTTTTGGAGGTCTTTAATTTCTTTGGTTACATTGGTTCCTGGATATTTTACCTTATTTGAAGCCATCATAAATAGAGTTGGTTTCCTGATTTCTTTCTCTATTATTAGTATATAGCAAAGCTATTGATTTTTAATGTTGATTATGTTTTGAGACAGGGTATCACTAAGTAGTTTATGCTGGCCTTGAACTCACTGTGTATTCCAGGCTGGCCTCTAATTCCCTCATCCTACTGCCTTGGCCACGTGGGTACTGGGATTATAGTCACATGTAACTATGCCTGGCTTAATGTTATTTTATATCCCACTACTTTACTAAATTAATTCCTCAGTTCTAAAACTCTTTTGGTAGTCTTTAGAATCTTCTATGAAGAAAAAAGAATCTGTGATCTGCTAAGAAGAAAAAATTGCCTTCTTCTTTTCTTATTTGTATCCCCTTTAGTTTTATTTTACCTAATTGTTCTATCTAAAATTTTAAGAACTTTATTGAGTAAGAGCCTGTAAACAGCCACAGTAGTGACAGTTTCCCCTCACATGGACACAGCTACCACGTAGCTAGGAAGTCATCCAGCGTGGTGACATACTCGGGACCCCTGGCAGGTCCGAAGCAACTCCAGGGTGCACCTCTGTGGGCGCGCTCAGTGCCCCTTTCTGAAGACAGAGCCTCAGAGCAGAAGCTGCTGCAGGCCCCATTCTGACGCTGTGATGCTGCCAGATGCCTTTCAGAGGAGTGCACGTACTAACACTGCTGGTCTCACCAGAAGAGACTGACCTGCTTCGGCAGGACTGCAGTCAGAGCACGCACTGAGGTCTGGGTCTTGCCACGACACCTGCAAAACAGAGAGCCAAGCGTGAGTGGCCAAACCTTCAACTACATGCCCGCTCCTACTGAACAAGTATGTGCTATACCCATGAAGAAAAGCTCATACACAAATGACAGGTGTCTAAGCTGGGAGTGGTGGTGCAGACCTGTAACCACAGTGCTCAGGAGGCTGATGCAGGAAGATCACTATGAGTTTGAGGCCAGCCTGAACTACATAGTGAGTTCAAGGCCAGACTGAACTAGATAGGCAGATTTGACTCAAAAAAAATCAAACAAAAAAGATGGAAACCTCTAATTAGAAATGAGCAAGATAACAGGAATTAAGAATCCAAATAAAGGGCCCAAAAAAGAGCCAAAACTGGGGCTGGGGAGATAGCTCAGCAGTCTAAGCTCCTGCTTGGCAAGTACAAAGACCTGGGTTTGACCCCTGGTACCGCATGCTGTGCCAGCCCAGGCACTCCAGGCACACTATACTGGCCACCGAAACCAGGTGTGGTAGTACACACGTGTAATTCCAGCACTGGTGGTGGGGGGCGCTGAGACAGGAGGATCACTACGAGTTCGAGCTGCGTAGTGAGACCCTGCACCAAATAAATATTTTAAAAATATTAAAGAGACAAAATTATATACTGCACAAATGGAAAAATTCTACCCAAATTTTCAAATTGAAATGTTACCATACAATATAAAACTATTACATATGATGAGCTCTATCGACTAGAAGCTAAGAAGTAACATCTACATATATATACAACATCTATTTAGATATCACAAATCCATCTTTTTTTCTTTTGTTTTATTTTTGTGGCCGGCTCAGCAGACCATGAGGACAGGGTTGGTGTGGCATGTGGTCCCTGCACTTGCCTAAGCAGGCACTTTAGACCACTGAGCTATCTCACGGGTCCACAAATCCATCTTTTAAAAAACTAACAGTTTGGGGCTGGTGAGATGGCTCAGTGGTCTAAAGCACCTACTTGGAACAAGCTTAGCAAAGCACAGGGACCGCGGTTTAATCCCCTAGCACCACACGCCTGCCAGCCCCGCCCCCAGGTGGGCTGAGCTGGCCACACACACACACACACACACAAATAAATGTTTAAAAAAAAACCAAACTAACAGTTTGAGCACTGAAACAGATGCTCATTTGAAGTTTTATGCAAGTAATGATAAAAAATATTAAATTATTAATCTTAAAAGCACATGCTTTATATCACAAAGACCACAAAACTTACCTTTCATATGGAATTCTTTTCATTCCAACATCTCTGATATAATCTACTAGCTGCTTCTGTGTTCGTCCACTGTGAATAAAAGTTTAGGTCTTTAAAAAAGAATGAAAGCAATTCAAAGTACCAGTTTTTCAGAGTTAAGGACAGAAGAAAAGTAAAACGTGCCCATCCTCTCTCAAAACTACATACACACACGTTTCATAGCTACTTTCCATAATGTTTTAAAAGTGGAAACAATTTTCTAGGTAAACGTTCTTTGGCCTACCTTCCTACTATTCCACTTGCCGTACTTTCCCACAAGGATGCCTGTAAAGGCACCTCTCCGTGGCCCATGACATACCTTCCTCTGGCCAAGGAGGCGACACAAGGCCCTACCTGTATCTGAAGGAGGAGCCCCGGCTGAAGAAGACGGCTTTTGCCTTTGGCTTAGGCTGGTCAAGAAGTCTAAAAAAGGTGTGGTACTCCACACAAATCTTCCAGAAATTCTTACACTCATCTCTGCTACCCAGTAAGAATTCTAGTGTGTCCTGGTAGGGTCCCTAGGAATAAAATACAAAGATTTAAGCAGCAACCTACACAACAAAGTGTTGGATGAAAGCAAGTAAATTTAGGAGATCACACAACAGGCAGTTCCACAATTAAAAACCAGTCAGGGGGCTTTCTAAAAACTGTATAGAATGACTTCTGACTTCATTTCCTGGAGTGAAGCAGAACAGCACATTATGCAAATCCACTGCTGAAACAGCACCTTTACCTCAAGGCAGCCTGTGCCATCACCCTCCTCCCTGCATTATCCCAGACCCCTGGTGACAGGCTTTTTTAAAAAAACAGGGTCTTGCTATGTAGTTCAGGATCATCTTGAACTCACTATGTAGCCCAGGCTGGTCTCAAATTCACAGCAATCCTCCTGCCTCAGCCTCCTAAGTGCTGGGATAGCATGTATGTGCCACTCTGCTTGGCATGACATGTTTTGTATTTTGGCTTTTTAAAAAATGTATTTAGGACAGGGTCTATAGGGTCTTACTATGCAGCTCAGACTTAGAGTGATTCTCCTGTTTTCAGCCCCCCAAGCATTGGGATTACACACACCACCATGCCCAGCATGCCCCAGGGGTGGGGCGGGCGTGGCACAAAGGGGATTGAACCCTGGTCCCTGCATCTGCCTAAGCAGGCGCTTTAATTTGCTGAGCTTCCTGGCCAGCCCACCATGATGTGGTTTTTAATTTAGAATGTTTTTGACACCTAGGAGATGCAGTTTCCTGGCTCACAAATATAACCATTAGGAAACTACTGCATTCTCTCATAGTTACCCCTCAGGACAGGCGTTCCCATTTCCCAGTCACTGGAGTGTCCTGGTCCGTGGCCTATTAGGAATAACTGCGCCACTCCGTGGGCCACAAGTGGGGGAAGCTTCCTCTGTATTTCCAGACATTCCCCGCAGCTCACTCTGCAGCCTGAACTCTCTCCCTGTGAGAATCTCATGCCTGCCCATCTGAGGGGGAGCTGCAGCAGCGGTGACGCCAGCTCTGGCGGCAGCTGCACACACAGACCACCACCAGCAGAGGGCTGGCCAGCACAGAGACCACAGTGAGTCCACTGCTCAGAGACACCGTCAGGACCTCTGGGTGGGTGCAGAGTGGCACGCACACACTCATGCATGCGGCTAGTGGCAGCAGCTGTGCGGTGGCGAGCGAGCGAGGGGCTGGGCTTCCCCCGCACAGCTCGCTGCTGGAGGCTGCAGGCCAGGCTCCCGCACCTGTCAGCTGGCAGGTGGCTCGTCCACAGTCACTTACTGCCCCCGCACCTCTTTCCCTCGCTGTGCACTTGGCTTATTCACAGGTTGCGCAAAGGCACGGCTAGCCCTGGCCAAAATGAGTGAAAACACGCTGGCAGAGAGGAGAGACTCAGCGATGAGACAGCAGAAGATGCTAGGATGCCAGCAGAAGAAAGCCACAGTGTGTAAGGAAAGAACCGAGTCCCACTTAAATTACGGATTCCTTGCTACAGGTAATTCAGGTTCTCCAAGCCCACTGTGTACAGTGACAGGTACCCAACAGAGCCACGAAACGCTCAACACTGCAGCCCAACATAAGTCTGAGGACCCTACATTACAAGTCAAACCTTTGGAATTTTTCAAAAGAAAAAAAATCATGAAGAACAGACATAGTTACTGAGGGCCATCACTTCATCACACGTTTCCGCACTGACAGCATCTTTCTTAGTGGTTTACATCACTACAGCTAAGAAGCCCGCTACTATTTGTAGAGAGTTGATCCCACCTGCTGCTAAGGACATCTGTCATGAGCTTTTAGGAGGCTGCAGACTGAAAGATGGCATGTGTTCCTTTTGGCTAGCACCATAATAGACAGGCTGATGAATAGCAGGAGCTACTAAGGTACAATTGTTATAATTAATCAATCACCATGGTACTCAATCCAGGGTGTCAACTCTGTCGATGATGACAAGATAGCATTTCTTTTTGTGTGAAATATTTTTCAGGAGAGTGTGCACAAGGATTGGTTATGTACACCTTCTTACATGTATTTGGTACAGGGTCCCACTATGTAGCTCGGACTCAGTGATCCCCATTTTCAGCCTCCCCAGTGCTGGGATTATAGGCGCCACCATGCCAGGACTTGGGGGCCGGCTCAGTTTGCCCAGGGGTGGGGCTGGCATGGCATGTGATGCTGGGAATTGAACCCAGTTCCCTGTGCTTGCCTAAGCAGGAACTTAATCCGCTGAGCTATCTCGCCAGCCCTATGTGCACTTTTCTTGCCAACCAACACCACAGCCGCAGAACTACTCAAGTCTTTTTCCTCATTACATATCAGGAAAACTGAACAAGTCATTTGTGTTGGCACATGCACAGACACAGCGGGCTTGGAGACCCTGGATCACCTGTAGCTGCCATGACTGGATGCATTCTGGTTCTACTGCACAGGTGACCTCTGAATGTGAGCCCACCCACTGTGTCATCCACAGAGAAACACTGGCTGGCTGAAACTGACACCTGGACTTAACAACATTTTGGAGGACATGATTACAGTTATCAACCACATTAGAGTACACGCCTTAACTCATGTCTGTGAGGATACGCATGTGGAGCAACATGTTTTCTCTCATACACAGAAATGAAGTGGCTTCCTAAGGCAGATCACTGACCAGAGCTTGAGTTTTGATAGCTGCTCCAGAGATTTCTTAAAAAAAAAAAAAGTCACCAATCTGTCACTTAAGAACAGAAATTCTATTCAAGTTGGCAGATAAAATAGCCGTACTCAAAGCCAAACTACAATTACAGGGGTTTTATGGTTTGCGTCCAGATGTTCTCCGAAAGCCTCATGCAGTTTTTTTGTTTTGTTTTGTTTTGTTTTTTTGTTCAGGGTCTCGCTACATAGCCCACATTAGTAGCGATCCTCCTGATTTGTGCCTCCCAAGTGCTGGGATTACAGGTGCGCACCACCGCGCCCAGACTCCAGCGCTGGCTCAGCGCACCTGGAGGTGGGGCCGGAGAGGCACACAGAGCTAAGGATTGAACCCTGGCCCCTGTGCTTAGCTAAGCAAGCGCTTAGTCCGCTGAGCTCACGCCATCTTGGGACCCGGCTTTGTGGAGGCAACCGCACATACAGCTTGCTCCTCGTTCCGTGTCCAGTGCTGGGATTGGGTGTGTGGGTGCTGCGTCTATCAGGGTGGGCTCCCTCAACACTAAGGAAGGAACAGAGGCTGGCTCCTCCCTTTGGGCCCTTGCTGCTTTTGCTGTCTTCCACCACCATGAACAGCTGCCCTCTGCCACGTGCCGCTCTACCTGAGCCAGCTGATCACGGACTGAAACCTCTACAAACTGTGAGGTCAATAACCTTTTCCTTCCTTAATTTTGGGGTGGCACGTGAACACTGGGATTTCTGACATGTTTCAAACAGCAGAGATTCTGAAAGAGACTGAGCCCTGGCCTTCTTTCTGTCAGCAGCTACACTATCGCTTGCTTTAGCTTTCGGAGGAATTTAAGCATACCTTCCTAACCACACATTGGAAGGAATGGATCTGTGGCCCACTGTAACAAGCCAGGCAGATCAACTGTGTGCCAGGACAGTCTGCAGCTTACGATTGCAGATACCGGCGGCCACAGACATAAGTTCGGGACAACTCAAAGTGCACGGTCTGGCTTGAGTCAAGGCAGTGCTGCCTGAGGCTGCCACAGGAGCCGCAAGAGGCCGGGTTCCTTCCCAAGGTCAATCTGTGTGAGTCGGGGTTCTCTGCAAGAGCAGCAACCACAGTGAGACTCTGCAGCCTGGACAGAACACACTCTAGGTGTCGATGTGTTCCCCCAAGGCCCCACATGAAGCACACTCAGCCTCCCACTAACTCTGTGTGACGGTGGCTTGTGCTGCGATATCATGATATAGTCCCATACAGTAACAATGAAAAACAAAGTGCACAACGTATGGGAAAGCTGCACTCCCAGGCTGGGCGTGGTGGCACACGCCTATAATCCCAGCACTTGGGAGGCTGAGGCAGAGCTGTTGCCAACTTGAGGCCAGGCTGCACTCCAGAGGGAGATCCTGACACAAAAAGAAAAATAAAAGTCTTCCCAGAAACCTGACTCTGGGATCAAAAAGCCTGGGGACTTCTGCCTACTGTAGCGTGAATTCCTAGGAATGAGATTTTGAGCTCAAGGACAATACACATTTTTGACCTTTCAAAAGGCCAAAATACTTTGTATTTTTGTAATACTTTGGTTTCTCTAGTCCTAAAAATCTGTATACATAAAGATATAAAATATAACTCTGCTTTGAACTTTAAAAATACAAACATGGCTCTGAACTCTGAAATTTGTAATTCTATTAACAGGTGCTTTCATAAATTGAGTTGTAATTCTCCTCTGAATGATTTCAAGAAACACTTTTGTCATCACAGGAAAGAAAAGCCTCTTATGTGCGTTTTGTATGTGTGTCTGGATTCCTACTCCACGTTCGTGTCAGATGAGCTCCTGCAATAGCAACAAGCCATCCCATGGAGCCTGACCCAAGCGCACACCCACATGACACATGCGGTGGAGCTTGACTAGTGCCCTGCTGGCCGTGGGCCTCTGGGGGTGTCAGGAGAGCTTTTCTGCTTTCAGGCATCTGTCACTGCATCCCTAGGCAGAGCCTTTCTTGATTGGTCCAACAGCTCTGAATCTGCGACCCAGAACATGTCTACGCCACCACAGGCCGGCACCTCAAACTTGAGCCTTCCGTGGCTCAGCTAATCCTTTTCTTTCCTAACTTTCTCCATAGAAAGGAAATGGAACAATTTTAATATCTTTAAACAGTTTTAAGTATTGAAGCTTCCCAACTAGCAGACATTTACTTTTTCCACTTTTAATCATGTCAGTAATTCCGAAGTGATTGTAACTTTGTTGACATACAACCTCTAACCAGGAGTATTTCTTTCTTGATCATCAAGGCTTCTCAGAGCTAGCCTGAGGACAGTTTCTGAACCATAGGGCCATGAGACTTGGGTGGCCTCAATGCTGGACACAAGTTCTTACTGTCCTCAAGGCAGGGCTCAGTCCACCTGACCTTTGTCAGCTGCATCACCCAGACGGCAACGAGGCCATGACAACCATGGTTCTGAGGTCCTGGAGCCTGCCTGACATGCACTTGCTCTGGGGTGCGGCTGCTGGCTGTGTGGATGGCAACCTGCCTAGGGCACACGGTGAGCCTGCTGGGCAGACTGCCCTTACGCCCTTCCAGGTGCCACAACACAAATCTTGTCCTTAAAGTTGTGCACCTGGCACAATAATGACCTATAAAGTAGTTTCTGAAAGCCTCTCAAAAACCAAACAACGGGGGCCGGGGAGATTGTCCAGTAGAATCAGCGCTTGCCTGGCAAACGCAAGGGCCTGAGTTCCATCCCTAGTTCCACCAAAAAAAC